TCTGGCTTCGACGTGGCATTCCCTCCAAGTGGATTTTCATTGCATCAGCCACAGCATTAGCCAACTCGATCGATGCCAGTCCTGCGATCGAAGGCGTCCAAGAAAATCGTAGCCTCTGCGTCTTCGCTCCTGCAATGCCTTGAAGGCCTGGCCAAGCCGTCGTACGCCCAGCAGGCGGTCAAGTTCGTGCACCGTTCGTACTGTCCAAACGACATCTTTGTCGGCATTCGCGTGCCGCAGTGCCGTGAAGCTGTCAAGACGCACCTCGGGTCCACGACTCTCAAGGACATTTTGGACCTTATCCATGACGCGCGCCATGAAATGCGGCTGACAGGGTTTATTGCGTTGACGGAAGCCTTTCACCGGCCGCACTCGGCGTCTTGGTGGAGTGACGACGGTGTCCCAACTGAAGATCACATCAAGCATCTTGGTATAACGTTCATCGATATCTGCACGTTGCTAACACAGCACATGCCAAGGCTATTCACCAGACGACTTGCGCCGCCATGCCATCTCCAGAATATACTTGGACAACACACGATTTTGCAATAATTGGGACTTGGTCGATGCGTCAGCGCATAAAATCCTCGGCGAGCAATTGGTGCACTTCCACGCGACCGAGCTGGCCGCTTATTGTGCAAGTCCAACCAAGGTATTATCTCGTCCATGTTGTTGGCACTTTAATGCAGCTTTTGTGCCAAGTGCATCGACGAACTCCCTGCGTGGTATCAGCGCCTCTTGCAGTCCAAGGATCTGTGGGAAACGCGAATTTCCATCGTGCTTCTTCTCAGACTGCTCCCCACGGAGCATTGCAACGTGGCTTATGCAATATGCCTCCATCACATCAACAAGTTCGACGCAGATCCGTCGCTTCGATGCACCCTCGAAGGGGCGTCTTTCCCGAGCTTGGACTTAATCCACAAAGCCCTCGGGTGGGTGCTGCGTGAAGCGGGCAAGCGGAACAAGGCGGCATTGACTCGCTTCCTCGACGAGCATGCAGCCAAAGCATTCAAGACCACCGTGCGATATGCCACCGAACACATGGACAGGGCCAAGGCGAAGAGGTATGTTGACCGCGCTCAGAAAGGCGTGGCGAGCCATGCCGCAACGGATCTAGACGACGAGGCTTAAGCACTTTTCAAGCACCACAGCACAACACGTCAGTGTTGGTTGGGCCCCATGAACTGTTGTACACTGGAACCTGATTCTGAGGTCATCTACTCCTGGACACTTTGTGCTTCGTGAGGATGGACGTGGTCAGTCGCCTGTAAAGTGCATCGATGTACTAGGTAAACCACATAGGTACATCCAAATCACATTCACAGACGCGCTACCCCCTCGCATTGCCACGGCCATGGCTACAGCGCCATCGACAAACCTCGTCGTTGCTTCGTTGTCTACGGATGCTACAACTGCGCATCAAGATCGTCAGGCTGCTGCCAGATTTTGATGCTTTTTTCGATTCGACGAA